TATAGATGCATCATACTGTACAAAATCAATCGATAAAAGTGATCACTCCTATGAGGTTTCAGTGATAAATCAAATAATTATTATGCATGAAATGGCCCTAAAATTTTATTAGTAATATGTTACAGATTTTTAATAAGACAAAAAAACATGACTGCTGATTTAGATCTAATTTTAGACGAGTCATACACAACTTTTTGAATTTGCTGATTACATTTATGGAGTCAGTTATGGACAGTGAAGAGCAAGTGCATAACTTTTAGAACATGACAGTAAACTAAACGGTAGCAACACTGATTAAAAAACGGAAAGTTTGCAATTGTTGCTATACCAGTCTCCATCATACTTTCATGATCAACGAGCGCAATCTGTGGCACCGTTCTTACGGTGTAATGCTGATCTAATCTTCTGTGCCATCATCAAGGGGTGCTTCATGGAGAAACAATGTCTAAGGATATAACGTAAGTACAAAGTGTACACTAACGTTAACGTTTACAGAGCGTACAAATTTTTCTATCGGGATTGCCTAGACGGTAAACTGTCAGTCTCAGAGCCGAAATATCCGGGATTCAAGATTCGGGTAGAGTCGTACTGATAAATTAACACCGCACTGTGGCAACGAGACTAAGGATTACGCTTGCCACGTAACTGCTGTCGACAGTGCTTTTAAAATAAAGCACACCTGGCTGATGACAGAAACAGATATCAGTGCCTCACGATTAACTTTATAAAAAGACGGGTTTAAGAAAGACCCTACGATGAAGTGTAAGGAACTAGTGACATTAAAACGGTCAAACCAAATTTCGCCTTTTCTTTTCTAACCGATTTACATAGCTCGGAAAAATGAAATAGAAATGATACGACTAGGGCTATAACTCACAATCGTTAAAATGTAAGCCTGACTCGACACATCTGACTTAGATACATTATTTGATATATCAGCATATAACAGATTTGAGAAAAATTTGAGAGAAGTAAAATCACGTCTACACTAGGGACCATACACAAGGAATGCGGAATGTAAAGGGTGACTAGCCACAGAGGATGCATAAGACTGTAGCTTCCACCTTAGAGAAGCATACAATACATCGATGCACCATCTGAGCATTTAAATGACATCGAACCAACCTGCTAACCGCTGATCAGCAGTTCGAGTATTTTTAGAACCGCTACCGACTTGAAGCTAACTTGGTAGTTCTTAGAATTCCTGTTGCATATGTTCGCTTTTACTAACTAATTCACTATTTCCGTTTCTATTTAAAAGACTAATCACGTACATAAAACCCCGACGGTTAGCGGTAAAAAGGAAAAAAACTACCCATACGATTTCACGAACGCTGGAGCGCAAATCAGCGCTAAAGATTAGCTAACACTATGCACTGACAGACACTGGATAAAAAAATTTTTGCGACGATGGTATTATATAATTTTTTGATGCAATTAAACATCAAAAAGTAAAGTAAGTACTGAATATGAATGATTTATCAAACTCATTTGTCATGTCTGTTCTTTTTTAATACGTATTCAACAGTTAGAAGCACAGACAGAAGATTTTACTATGTATAATGTTTATGCCAAAGGACACCGATCATCCTTAGGGATAAGAAGCTGTATATTCTCACCTTGCCCAGATGTCAAATGTCAACGTTGGCAATGAAATCTAACCAATAACCGTCATATCCACAAGAATAATATTATGGGTTCGTTTTGGATGCGAGATACGCATAAAAATGAATAATTATTTTAAGTATTTACAAAACTCTCATTTGTAGATTTATATTTTTAGCATATTCCACGCACCTTAAGAGGAATAGGAAAAAAACGTGTAATATTAGTGAAGAATTTTTGCGTTTAACTGACGTGGCTGATCATGCCATGTTTGTCATTTGGCCAAAACGATCGTTTGGTATCCGGTCTATGCGTCACTCGCATGTAAACCAAATATGAAATCCGAGACGCCGCACCTCTCTGCCGAAGTTCGAAATCTTGCGGGTTTCATGAAATTTGAACACCTGCAGCACATGTATGCAATATCTCGCATGAACGTTTTCGAATACTGGCTAAAATGCCACAATCCATGGCCATGCAAGTCATCTCATGGGAAAAACCCGAAAAAACTACAGAAGCACAACGGCCCTGTAGGCCATTAGAATCTAGGGACATGCTGTGAAAATCCGGTGAAGTGGCACCGAAAACAACTGTTCCGTATATTAAACCCAAAGAACTGCTGCATCCTGAAACCCAGCTCCTCAAGATTGTGCGAAATGAAAGTCTTCTTCAAAGATGCTGCAATCACAACCCCAAAATTTGGGGAGTTCTGAAAATGGTATCAATTATGTTAGAGAAAAGTAAAGAATACAGAAAAAGTATGCAGTTTCAAGGTGTCTGTGAAAGGTTGTCGATAATTTCACATTCTGTTTTCTTTCAAACTTTCTTTGAACAGTCGGGGTAATCAATTCACATCCAGCTAAACGATGGTAAGTTTGCGATGAAATCATGCATTTTCTTAATTATAATGAAGTTCTCGTATAAAACTACAGCACAAACTGGTTCAGATAGTTTGCATATTAACCGTTACTGTTTTTAAGCTTTATTTCAGGTGAATACCGCACGAACAAGACTAATTTTTGATACATCAAAGGCAGCAGAGCGGTGCACAAAACCGGTTTCGACTGGTCGGTCAGGTGATGCGGCGAAGAACTGACTCCTGAAACATCATTTGTGATGAGCATAAGGTGACCCTAGCGGACACAATTATGCAAGATTGTATCTGGCACTAAGAGTATCCAAACCGTGACTTGCTCAAATGAGCCTCCCTAGAGGCAAATATGGGCAACTCTACGATGCAGCACGATATCAAATCGGATCTTGAATGGCTTTTCCGTCAGTTAATCTAAAAGCTTGTACTATATATACTCTTTTCATATATCCAGTTTCATGTTTACGTGAAGTTTCGGCATAATACCGTGCAGTCTGATTCATTCTAAATGGAAGATAAGAGACTCTGTGACGTCCGTGTGCCCGAATCTGTTTACGATATACACCACTGACCGTAAATTTGAATACTATCACTTTAGGTAGTCGCCAGTTTTACAACCTCTGTAACAGGAGCTACGGATGACTGAATGGGCCTACCTGACGTTATACAATAATTCAAAAAACTTTTTACAATCAGCATCATTTCTGGTTAATCTGAAGTACTCTCGCGCAATTCTGTTTTTTTCCTTCCGCCGCCAGCTCTAGATGAGGTCTCATTATACCACGTCTGCAATGCGAGTGCCAATCGATTCCAACAAATACTCGCACAATGTTAGTCAGCACTGCCACGTCATTAAATGTTGGAACAGTTAAATGGTAGCCTTCTTAAGACGATCCACCTTGTTGCGAGATAAAATGACAAACGTCACTACTATGATAGTCATGCATAATTTGCACTAGGCCAAAAAACTGTTAATATAACCGAAAAGGATTTGCAACGCGCCGAAATTCAGTCACAGCATATCCCCCACTTTGCAGCTTTGCAAAATCAAATTTTATGAAACCGCGCATCCCTTTCATCGGCATGCACACTGTCAACAGATACTAAGAGTATAAAATTTCGACAAAAACAGCCATAGACGACTGTACAGCAAAATACGAAATTACGAAAAACTATGAACATGCACGACTCACCTCGTCGACTTGTGCCTGGGTCTGCTGCAAACGCTTACTTTGTGGACGCATCTGCGAAGGAGCCTGACCTTCACCCGGTCGCCCAGCCATGTCTTGCGCCGGGTTTGACCTAGAAGGACGAAAATTACTCGCGTTCCACACTGGTCAAACGTCATGACACATTCGACACTTGGTGAAATTATATGGATCAAAACGGAAATGTCAGTCGCATCATAACAGTTCGCGCAACATAGAGCAACCAAATGGTCTGTATGCGAGGATCGTCGAAGGGAAATCAATTAGAAACTAAGCATTCAAATCAACGACGACAGAAACCTTGCGGACTACAGATCCGGCAATGGACGCTCCAGTTTTCAGTCGCAGCTGTCGCCAACGCACGAATAATCAATCATGCGATATGGAAAAAGCAAATTTAACGACCGCATATCGTCCTTCCATTTTGTACAACAGTACCACTATTTGTTTGAGTGGCTGCCGCGAGAGAGCAGGCGGAATTTTCGCCATTTAAAACCATCTAAATTTTACTGCCGTCACCACAACCTGATTCAAAATATAGGTGAGTTCACTTCGATCCTTTTACGCCAATTTGATCATCTTCACTTCGTTGCATGCGGAAAGGATTTACCACTGGTCTGTTAACCGAAAGAGACGCTGACCAAAGGTAGACGAGTAAATTATCTCGACAATAAACTCCTGCAAATAAATATGAAAGGAGGTATTGATTCGTTGCCTTCTTTGAGTAACGCTTAACTGTCTTCGATTCCCAATCCGTGGTGATGGTCGCAGTTAACAAGGATGATGTTAAATCATTTGTTTACCAATATGGTAAAAGGCGCCGCCAACCAGTCCCTTCATCTAAGCAAACCGTTCACAAGATTCACACCCAATGATTCCAGCAAAGGAATAGAATTTAAAAAACGAGAAAAGCGAAAACTACACCAGTCAGGATTCTCTACCAGGTGAACACAGATTACTCAACCACACATTACTCACCAGACGTTTACAATCGCCCATAGACAAAAACAAGGTATTTCTACATTAAATATAGCAACGCATGCATATATCCTATCGATTCAGTAGACCTTCAGACTAACACTATGTCAAAAGATAGTGAAATATACCGCTTACATTTCCCAAATGCTAAGTTCAGTCTAGAAGCGTTGCACCTTTACGGACGCTACTACGCTACGCACATTTAAAACCATACTATAACACAAAATGATCCGGCCTGATATTTAGCTGAAATGGTCCTAGATTGGAAAACCTGCTAATCAGCTATCATTACTGTACGGAGCAGCGACATCCTGCATATCGATGGCACTTAAACGCGTTTAAGCGAAAATAAATTAAAAGTGTTTAGCGAAAATTTAGTTTTGCTCTATCACTGAGATAAACCACTGTTAGGTTACTGAAAGAAAAACAGGTCACAAATTAAAAAATGAACGCCGCTAATTCGATTTCCAAACCCAGTAACAATAACTAAACGTGTGAACCGACACCTTATTTGATTAAACTGTTTCATTCTGTCCAATTTGTTATGTGCATGAACAGGTGTAATATAAATGCCGTGTGATTGTCTCTCTATGTATTAACTTTATATGTTAGAGGTGATCAGGTACAGACTGGAAAAGAAAATTTACTTCTGCATCTCCCAGTGATTCGCATCACGCGATGCACCTAACTCTACGTATATTTACGTGAACCCACTTAAATATTTTGTTATGTAGAAACAGTATAAGCAACGGATACACTATACCATTCAAACACAGTGCCATAAGTATTTGCAAAAATATGCATATTATGCTCAAAATGAACGTAGCCATCGCTCAACTAGTATTTTTGCAAAGTTAGCGGACAGTAGTATTATCGTTTCTTCTCGTAGTTCCGTCCTTGCTGAGTTATTCATGGACGTCCATTTTTTATAACTGCTAAGAGATAGATACGGAAAAGAAAGCTATTCGAATCGTATTCAACATTGTCAAGATTGTCGTTCGTCATCTTTAGGTTCTCTGACATGAGTGTCATTGCTGCAAAGTCATTGAAATGCGAGATGCCGTCGATGACATCCTTGAAGAACTGAAAATTAATTTATGTAGCAGACAAACAACACCGACGCCATGTACCTTAAGAAAAATTGAAGAAAATATATCTTATTGGTTCTTTAAAATATATCTTTATCCTTCAACAAAAAAATTAATTACATTTTGCGCCAATGCAAATATTCACTTCATGGTGTCTGATGAACCTCACTGACTTTAATTTTTCATTTACAGTTGCGATCATGACCGGCTTTTACATCAGAGTTTGATTTTTATGTGTTGCATCGCAGAAGCACATTTCTGAGATTTTGATTAAATGAGTTGAATTTCATTCATTGAAAACAGGTTCTACTTTCATAGAGTTATATTTCATTAAAGAGACCAGTGGTATGTCAATCACTGTAATCCGACTAAGAATCTGCATTCTGCTTTCCTTATGAATGTGAACAGGCAAAAGACTGTTTAAAGTATTATGTTAGATAAAAAACAACGGAGCTTGCATGCTGCCATTACCATTTGCCACTACTTTTCACATGCTATTATTTAATTTTGCAAAATAATGATGGTAAGAAAAGTTCAGAGGCACTGAACTTCTACTCAGTAGTTTATCATAAGTTTGATGGCTACTCATCAAACTGCAGGACCAGTGTATCATCGTTGTCATTACCATCATAGCAGATTGCCAGGTTAAACGGACTTTATGCTGAAAACTGTTGATTTAAAAATCATCACCGTCAGACATTTCATCTTTGTAGGTAACGGATCACGCGTCATCTGTTTATAT